CCCCAAAACCCCAAAACCCCACAAATGAAAAATCGCCAAAAAATGAAGAAAATAAAACTTATGAATTTATAGAATCAAAAGTCTTAATTATATTTTTAAAGATTAAATAAATGAAAGCACTGTAAGATCCTTTTTAAAGTGACTCTAAAAGACTCAAGGATACAAATGCAAATCTTAGAAACAGCTAAATATGTTCACAGCCGAACCTAACTAGTTTTCAAATTTATCAGCAGCAACAATTAAACTATTTGAAGTGATCCAAACTAAAAGGCCTTTTCGATAATAATCTAGGGAGCAGAAAGAACAGTCAAGACTAGATGATGATGAGTAACCCAGATATGAAGACGCTTGATGATGTTCAAGGTGTGTCTGTAAAGAAATTCTTGCGGAGCAATCAATCTTAGAGCATTCTCTAAACCCTCAAACTTGATAGCAATGGCTAGCGAACACCAGTCAAGAAGCACAATATCCACATTGAATAAGTTCTTCCAATGGGTGATGCAGGAGGCTACCCATACCCAAGCAATTATGGACTTGGTTCATCTATATCTTAGAGAAAAAGGTAACATTTCAATAAGGAATAGAGACCTCTTAGTAAAGTAAACTAAGAAATAAAGCTGCCAAGTCACTCATCTCAAGGCCAAAGAAACTATACAGCAAAATCAGTAGTCAAAAACAGAAGGATTATATTTGCAGAGTTCAACAAAATCTAGTCATATGAGCATCAACACCACCCACACTTTCAGTCGCAGTAGCAATATCAGTAGCAACTTAGAAGCATCGAGAATAACATAGAGAAAAATAAGATTACGCCTAATTCACTTAAAGATAAATATTAGTATCCATCAAATCAAACTTCCTCCAACCCAGTTCCAACTCAAGCTCCTTCAGAGTTATCAACAAAGCGCTATGTTATCAATGTGAATGCAGATGAGGAAAACTTTAAATCGGTAGTCAATGACGGTAAGCCTTAGTCTCCTTTCGAAAAATACATGACAGACATAAAGACTGAGAAGGGTGATAAGCCATACTCAAACCTAGATAAGGAAGAAATTGAAAGATTCAACAGAAGACTAAGCTTTAAAAAGTTTAACAGTAACAGAAGATCACTTAAGACTCTAACTAATTCACCTGATACTTAAAAAGTCTTGCCCAAGAAGAAGAAGCTAATCACTAAATCAGGCACACTTACTTTGCCAGATAGAGAAGGAGATCCAGAATCTTCCAACAGAACTTTGAAATAGAGAAGCAAATCAAGAGAGTAAATTCTAGCGGTTAACATTAATGGAAGTCAAGGCGAGTAATCTATCAAAGAATAGGATGAGCGGTTGCAATAAAAATAGACTGCAAATCAAGAGCCATCTCCCTTTGGAATGTTCTAAAACAGATACTATTCTAACAACTTTGTGGAAAATGCTGGACTATTATCGAAAGACTCTTAAAATCCATGTTCCCGCCGATTCCCTTTAACTGAGTTGATTGATGATCTGAGGAAGTCTCTTCAGTCCAAGCAATCTTAAAATGAGCTTAGCAACTAAATGTCATCGAAACTGAGCAATCATACCTTTAAGAAGATTAAAAGCATAAACGAAAGGCACATGGACAAATACAGAAAATCTATTTTCAGCGGGAGAGAGAGTTATGACGATCACATATACTCATCTGAAAGGAACTAGTGATCGAAACTATTAATTATCAAGATATATCTACTTTAATTATGATTTATTTACAGCCAGTTTAATTTCATTAAATTATTATAGCTCTGTGGGGTTTTGGGGTTTTGGGGTTTTGGGG